CAGGAAGGATGATGTATTGCAATTATCTTAAGATGAACCAATTGAACAAAACTTAGTAATTCCTATTGCAAAGATGGAGAATATATCCCCTGTATGCAGGGCAGGATAAGTGAAGACAAAGCCTATTTTGATGCTTGGAATATACTTAAAAAAATTAAGATACCTAAATTAGAAAATCAGCTACATAAAGCAACTCTTAAAATATTTCGCACATATCAGTACCTTAGTGAGTCTCACAAAACATTTTGAGTTCAAATGATCAAGAAGCTAAAGGCATTTAAGCAAAAAATATTTATTAGTTTACTACAAAAAAATCTCAAGAAAAAAAAAAAAAGCCTAGCTATCTAGGAAGTCATACAAAAAAAATGGGGCAAGAATATTCTCAAAGTTGTCAGGCTCCTTAGCTCTTCCCATCTTGCCTTGTAAATACATATGCTGTTTTACAAGTCTCCAGGAACAGATACATTCCCTGGAATAGTACTGCCATATTGCATTTTACAGTTTGACTTTTTCTAATGTTTCTGGTATCATTTGGTTTGGGGAGAATTTTTCAGTTTTTGCTTTAAGGATTTTACCAATATTACGAATCTTGCATGCATTCCATTGTATCAAAGGTGAATATTAAAAACATGTTACATGAATATAGAAAAAAACACACTTTAGTATCTAAAGTAATCTTTTGAACTCTGCATAATGCTGACTGTACTTTTTTTCAAATACTTTACAGTATCCTGAGGGTAGTAAAGACAGCTTTTTTGTACAACTGAAGCACAACTTCAAAGCCACACCACAGGTTAGAATGCTTCAGACAGAAAGAAAAAAAAGAAGCTTTGTAAATCCAGTGCAGACTACACCAACAAAAAAAACCCAAGAAAACAGGACATGCAATATAAAGTCAGGAACTATGAAGAATGTATTTTTGTACTTCAACAAAATATCTACAGAATCCAACTGTTTTTAACATTATGTCATTGCATAAGCAGAAGTGGAAAGGGCATGCATCAAGGGTGAAAAAGTGCCCTCAAATAATAATACTGCATTAAACATTGCCAGTTCGTTCTAATGGGGAGGGAAGAACAACAACAACAAAAAACACAAACAAAACTGGAAGAACACCTTATGCACCAGGTATGAGAGTAAACAAAAACTTAAAACTGGAATTTGGGGGAGAGGGCATGAAATCTTCACAGCAAACATCAGATACTGGGTACTGGAGAATAAACTGTTGACTTGTCACAACTAGAAGATGATGGAAGCTGATTAACTTTCAAATAAATGTTTTCAGAGCAATATTTCAGAAAACATGTTGTTACAGGCAGAAAAAATGTGCTGCTGTATTTAAAACTGAATTTTCTGAACAGTGACAATAAAGAGCAATGATACTTTTATTTTCTAAGCAAATTCTGCATGGGTAGATGGCAGATAAGCACTCTCAACATCTCAAGCAGTCCACATGAATACAGGCACAAGAGATACAAGATCCAGTGTTTCAAGGCTAACTAATTGAATATGGAGACAATATTGTTTTAATTTCCAGAAGGGTTTCTTAATTCTGTGTTAGACAGAAAGAAAAGTCTTACCAATATCTTCTTTGAGAAGGTGTATGTCTGCTGATCCTCCATATGTGGAATAAGGAGCCCTGCAAGCAAAAAAGGCATTTGGTGCCTCTGTAGGAGATGAAAAGGGGGCCTTTTTTTTTGTTTTCCTTTTTTTTTTTCCCTTTCTCTTCAGCCACAGATTAGGTCACCTCCTTCTTGATTACCTAGTGTTAGTTAGAGGAAGATTATTTTTTCCTCTCATCTTTTCAGAGAAAAAGGAATAAAACCCAGCCACAGAAACAGGCAGGCTGGAAAGGAAATAGAAGAAGAGCAGGAAGAAACAACACAAAAACTTTTGGGCTCTCCACAGAAAATAAGAAGGTCAAATACTGCTATTTCAATGAAAGATGCATTTAAGACTGAAGCTGATGGGTATTACCCTTGCTGACCAGGAGGATCAGAAGACATGACCCAACTCAGAAACAAGTTTCAATTAAAAATGAGGGCTGTGAAATTTAACAAAAAAAAACCCCAAAACAAACAAAAAAACAGACCTAAAACAAACAAACAAAAAAACCCAATGCAAACAATTAAAAAACAACCCCAAAACCCAAACCAAAAAAACAAACCATCACCAGTACCCATCTTTCTGATAAGCTATTTTAGCCAAAAGGATATAAAATGACTTCAAACTTTCAAAATTGTGATTTATCTATTTTTATCCAACATTTTAAAAAAATTTAATTGGAGGGTCACTATCTATTATGAAAGTATGTCCTCACTGGTTATTATCAATATGATAAAAATATAAAGTTTAAAAACAAATCCACAAAGTATTTACAATGGATGATTAATCCATTCTCAATCCATATAAAAACATAAATCAAGTATATTACAGAGTTTTCCAACATGTACTGGTTCCGGCTGGAATATGGTTAATTTCCTTCACAGCAGCTGCTATGGTGCTATGTTTAAGGTCTGTGACCAAAACAGTGTTAGTAACACAGGGATGTTTCAGTGCTTGCTGCACAGTTCTTACATAGTGTCAAGGCATTCTCTGTTTCTCTCATTGCTGTGTCAGCTGGGGGTGCAGAAGAAGTTGGGAGGGGACATAGCTGGGACAGACAGCTGACACAAATTGACCAGAGGAATATCCCTTGACATATGGTATCATACTCGGCAGGGAAAGAGGGGGGAAGAGGGGATGCTTGGAGTGAGGGTATTTGTCTTCTCAACTGTTACCCATGATGGAGCCCTGCTTTCCTGGAGATGGCAGAACACCTGCCTGCCAATTGGAAGAAGTGAATGAATTTCTTGTTTCGCTTTGTATGCATGCACAACTTTTGCTTTAACTATTAAACTGTCCTTATCTCAACCCATGAGTTTTCTCCCCCAACCTACCCGAGGGGAGTGAGCAAGCAGCTGCACAGAGCTTAGCTGCCTGCCCGAGTTAACACACAACACAATGTTAGTAGTGTTGGTGCTTGTTTCCTGTTATCAGATGCCCAGCTAACCTTGCAAAACATTCACACCCTCAGGTCAAAGGACACCAAACACAACCAACCTGAATTTGTTAGAGAAAGCTGGGATGCTGCAGGAAAGCAGAAAGGAGTGGCAATAAGGAAGGATGGCCATTACTGTCCCTCTAAGAGCAGAGCTGTCCCAAAGGGTATGATTTGTGTGGGAAGAAAGGAAGAGTGATTGCTCTTGTGAACAACAAAACATTGCCTAAAAGCCATTCTCCAGTTCTTCAGAGAAACTGCCAACTGGATGATGCCAGTTTAAGGAAACAGCAACTTTGAATTATCACTAAACAACTTCCTTCAGGCTCACAAGAAATAATTATTTCCACTGAGGACTGTGTTCTCAGCTTAAATAAAAATAGTTATTTTCTGTATCACCTACTTCCGTCAAACAGAAAATTATATTCAAGTTTACCAAACTACATGTAAGGAAAAATTCAAGTACAATATCCAAGTGGGTAAACTGAATTAGCATGCACACCATTTCCACATACAGCAGCAGTTCAAACCTCAGAATTAAAAGCATCTTCCATCAACCAATCCTGATCCACGCATTTGCTGATAAAGACCATCTGCACTGAATCACGTTTGCTTGCATCCAGGTATTAATTCAGGTCTCTAGTAGAGGCAGAAAAGTCTCTATAGTTCTATATTACATTTTTATCACTACAGTTCCTTTTTTTTTGCTGTTCATTCTTTTCACACATTCTTTCCTAAAATTGGTAAGTAGCATTTTCAAAAGCCTTACTTAATTTTCAAGGGAACACATCTCCCTAGAGGCATAAAAAGGAAGAAGGCTCCCTATTCCTCACAGGTCATTATTTAGAACATGGTAGCATTAAGGCTTTTATCAATTCTTATGGTCAAAATTTTGTCCTATATCTGGCAAGCAAGCAGAATTTTTACAAGAAGCAAACAAATTACCTTCCCTGTCTTGGATGTAAAGCATATCTCATTTTATGAAAATTAAAAACATATGCTTTGCATATTTGTGTTTCTTTCAATTCCAGAAGTTGAAAAAATAGTTGATTTCATATTCATGTTCTCATATTTGCACATCAGGTTCAAGTTCTGGGAAAGTACAGAATAACTTTAGTGCATTACTCTATAAAACTTCCAATATGGAGCTTCACATAACCTGTCAACCTACCAACTGAACATTTAAATTAAATGTAAGACAGTACAACTAAAAAATATTCAGAACAGGCTACCTCTCTAAACACCAAGTCATGGATTTGGAAGAGAACTTATTTTTAGCCTCAATCATAATTTCTTTCCTGCAGAAAAACAGATCCTACTTTTCAAAGTATCTTTGCAGGTAACTTCAAACATCACTGTTAACATCCTGTCACTGTTTGTTTAACAAAGTTTGTTGCAGCATTAGATTCCTTGCTGTTTTCAGCTGAAGTTCTACACTCTGAAGAGACCTGCTTTTTAAGTGTTTGACAGCAAGCAAATCCGAAGAAAACAGAAACATCTCATCTTTTGTCTTACTTGTAACTCTACAAAATGAAGACAATTTTATGTTTGAAAGCTGCTCAGATAACTAGGTAACATGCACCAGGAAAGAAAAAGGGACAAATACAGCTACTAAATATTTCCTCTATAAATGGAAGCTGTATTATTTTACTTCTGTTACAGTCAAACAGCCTTAAAGTTTGTTAAAGAATCTATTAGTTAAGAAAAATAGAAAATAAATCTCATCATTGTAGTTAAGTATATGGGAGAAGAAGGAAGGTAAGATACACACTTAAGGATTAAATAAAAAGAAGAAAAGTGTATTGCTGAAAATAGACTGGTTTCACCACAAAACCTCTCTAACTATAGTTCATGAACTTGAAAGGTTAGAATATACGGACAATGTTGTAAGATCTCAGACTCTGAGCCTCAGAGACTGTAAAGACAAATAAAAGGACAGGTGTCAACTCAAAGAGAAAATACTATGAAAATTCAACAGCAAAATAACCTAGCAAAACAAAGATAATTTATCATGGGGTGAGTCAAACCAAGCCAAACTAGTTTTTCCCCTTTGACTACAAAAAGAAAAAAAGGGTTCTGTACATACATTAAGACGGACTGACTTCACAGATCTCCAAAACAATCCGTTCTCACAGCAGAAAGCCCAAGTTGCACCTAACAGGTATTTTAATTTTTTAAAAAAGTGTAACAAAGTGCAAGTTACATGCTTCTTGCTACAAATAAAAGCATGAATTCCCAACTTTACTCAAGGTAAAGAAGAATAATAAACTGCTTGTCTTAATACAACACACTCAAAACTTGGTTATACAGCTATTAACTGTATAATTTTACTATAAATGCTAATTTAAGTGATTTGGCTGTGTGTAGTAAGACTGCTCTCTGTACAGGAGAATTTTCAGCCTTGACAGCTTTTAAACCAAATGAATATTTCCTCTGTTCTCAGAGGTTCACTGCAGTATGTAAGCACCTTGGAAAATATTTCATTAAAACAAGTCCAGCTATTCAGAATCAGCCCTTAAGAAATTCATCATGGTTTTTGCAAACAACGCTATTAATTACAAAATATTTTTTCTGTATTACATGCACTTAATCCCCAATCTTTTGGGACTTAATGAGTGAAGTCTGGTACTACAGAAGTCAATTTAGTGATTTTTCCCCTCCAGATGCTAGCACAACATACTCTAGGCATAACTATGTCTTGTCTCCACAGTAACTAATGTGAAGGACAGTATTTTACAAAGACACTTAACAAACATTTGGATTCCTATGTATGTTTTAACAATGCTAAAAGCAGTTTTCCCCCCAGGTAAAAGAGTAACAGAGCAATTCCTCACCCAATGCTTCCTTGGAAAAGTGAACTACAGCCATTACCAAAATGCCCTTTCAACACAATAAAAAGCCTACTTTGAACTGAATCAAGGCGAATTAAGATTTGTATGAAGTGCCGAAATATATTAGATATTATGAAGCCGTAACTTTCACATTGAAAAATTAAATACAGTGCTCACTTGCAATTTTCCAGAAATACACCAAGAAAACAACAAACTACATCTCTCCCTTTCTCCCTAGCGCTCTTCATTGGTGTTCCATTCTTTATGTTCTTAAATTTGGTTAGGTAAACAACTGAGAACTTTTACCATGGAATACCTAGGGGAAAAATTCTACTCTCATAATTTGGGTTGAAAACAAGAATACTAACAGCACAGTCAGTAAGTTGCAAAAAACGTCTCTATATGAATACTGTAGAGGAGAGCTATACATCTCCTCAGCAGTGACCAGAAAGTTACATATTTCTTCTTGCCTAAGATCCTAGGAACTCTTCAGACAACTTCCATTACTGCATGAGCAAAATTTGTTAGCTGTACTGAAGTGAAAAGGCAATATTCTTACAGTCCTTTTAACATAGTTGAGATATTTAATAATGCATTTTAACTCTGTTGGCAAAAAATCCTAAGAAGCTTACTACAGAGCACTTCTAATGGCCCGCATTCCTCTACCTCTGCAGCTTCCTAGCTCCAGCCTTTTCTCAAGGATTTCTCAAGGATTATCTGATGTGTGGATTGTTAAACAGACAAAACAAAACACAACCAAAAGCTCTGATTGTTTCACTATCAAGTAGTGGGATTCTACAAGATGGAAAAACTACTGTGCATCAATCCCTCCCTCTCCTTTTGCAATTTCCTGTCATAAGAGAAATTAGCATTTGGTAGCTAATAGCAAATAAAGGTAAGAATAAATAATCAAACTAATATTGTTGCTTAAATATTATGGTGAAAATGAGTGCAACCACAGGAAAATACTTCAGCTTGTTCAGAACAATGGACATTTGAATGAAGGAATAAATCTGTTGATATGAATTTTGCACACAATCTGCCAGATGCATCTCCCCCTGTAATTCTGAAATTTTAAGAAACTTGGATTTTGAACATTAGTAAAGGCAAGTTCATTCTCCCTAAAACAACTGTATTTTTACTGAACAACCATTCTATTAAAAAAAAGGCAGAAATTTAGTTTAACAAGAATCAGCTTTAAACATGAAATCTGTCTGCCAACATTTTTCCATCAACCCTGAATGACAATCAAGTACAGGTTCTTTCACAAATAATTTACAACGGCAATTTGTATGTAAAAGTAATGATTTTCAGACAATTTCATAAAAACACAGCACTGCAAATTCAAAAAGGATATATTCAAGAAGCTATAAGCCTTATTAAAAGGGTATTACTTACTATAATAATCTGCTTTTCGGTATCTTTTCCTGCTTCTTTTAGCTTCTGAACATGTTCCTCAGTTGGTAACAAGTTACTGCCTTTTGATGCTAATGAAGGATTTGACAATGGAACCCTTGAAATATAAATATGTTTCATGTTAAAAAAAAGGACTGCCTACCCATGTCACTGTAGATATTCAAAGCCATTGTGATTAGTATAACTAAAATTTAATGAGATGCAAATCCAAGATAATTAAAAAAAAATAACCTAAATACTAACAAAAAATACAGTTTGTGACTAGCCTAATTACAATATTTTTTTTTAAATTTAAAAAAGTAATTAGACTTTATAATCAAGTGGGGTAGCTTAATCACGACCAATAACACAAACATATAACTGAAGCATTTTCAGTAGCATGACTGATGGTGTCTAATGCTATGCATTTCCTACATAAGGTTTAGGTTTCTAGTTTAAGGTATCATACATCAGGCTGCTACAGCAGACCATGTAAATATTACCACAAACATAGGTGGGAATGACAGATGTCATAAATCTCTCAAATTCAATTCAAACTCATTATCTTCTAATGGCTAGCAGTGAAGGGAGGGAGAACACATGGATAGGTATCAGGGGAATCTCTCTCACCCAAGCTTCCCCTTGTCAATACTGAAAGAAATCCTGTAAAATTACTACAAACGCATCACCAGCCAAGTTATTCTATGAACCTGCGACTACATTCAGGGGAAAAATAACATCAAATTCAGGTCTGGATAAAACTCCTGGAGTTAACCAAAGCAAAATACCACAAAATACTTCTACTTCAACTAGGTATTTATGTACTTTCTGTTTCTGACCAAACTAAGGATATAGGGCCAAACATTTAATTGTAGCAGCTGCCACAGTACATGTAGCAGGTTAATTCAGTGAGCTTTTTTTAAAAACAAAAAAAACCCCACCAAAAAATAAAACTAAACCATGCCAGACGTTTTTAAAATTAGCTCTTATTAGCACAAAAAATGCTAGTTTATTCCTGTCATGTGCCCCAAAATCTGCACTAAGTAGGTAATTCAAGGTTTGCCGTTTTGCACCGCAGCCTTCTCTGACAAGGCCCTGAAGAGAGCTGTGCTGTACATCCGTGTGCTGTGTTACAGCAGGTATCCACAGAAAGGACAGCTTAAATCTTCGTAACATATGGAAAGCAGGGCAAAACAGCTCTCCAGAAAAATTTATATCCAAGTCATAGTAAAGCAATATGGGCTTGTTCAGCTAATAAAGTTAATTAATTTTAGTAGATACCATAAAGCTATTTGGCAGCTGAGAACAAAAATATGAAAAATTTAAGTTATTCTACTATTTCTAAAAATACTCATTTAACTAGTTTCACATCTACCTCATCATTCATTTTCTGTGAAATTTCACAGTAGTACAGTTTTCAACATGTACCAAAGGGCTGGTTAGTCAGAATTGTTAATCTGGCCTCAGATAGATCTATGTAAAATTAACTGAATAATTTCTTCTTTTCTCCATTAGAAATATAGTCTCAATATACTAACCAATGTGCCAACAGTAATACCTGTGCAAGGTATCAAGTACAAAGAAATTACTGTCTTTAGCATGTGACTGGCTAAAACCAGACTATGTCAGAATTGGTCAACACTCAACAGGATCAAGGATAAAATCTAAGTTTGAACTGTTAGTAGTAAGAACAGGAATAATTTTTATGTGACAGCTGATACCTTCATTTCACAGCAATCACAATTAAATCCTCTTTTCCCCATCTAAAATTTTAATATCTACATGACTTCCATAATTTAAGGATTACAACACTCTTCTAGAAGCAAAATAATTCAGTGAAGTGAAAATTATGTCATAAACCCTTCCCATACTCTCTGGTTATCATCTGATCTGAGGAAAAAAACATTAGAAATATTTTCCCAACTCTGTTAAATTCTGCTTTTTAAAATTAACGTTCAGTTACAAATATCTTGCTTAATAATTTATTTATGTAATAAAACCATCCCTTAATAACACGTAAAGTCAAAGTCTGTTTATATAAAGGACAAGTCACTTATTTGAAATTGAAAGTCAAGGCTGATAGATGATAGAACAGTTAGTCTTATAACAAAACCTCTCATAACTCTATGGAGGGTTACAGCAATTTCATTATGTATGAGTTACTTTACCTGTTCTCAGTTTCCGAAGTTTGATTTGTAACGGCAGTTTGTGTCAATTGCTTGGGAGCCAAACCTACAATTAATCAAAGATTGTAACTTCATTATAAAGCTATTAGTTGGAATGGAAATTTGAGCTACACAGTGATCTCCAAAAACACATCCAAGACAATGCTGCAATTTGTTCATGGCCAATATAAAAAGATGCAACCCTGAGACAGTATTTATATGTTTCTCCACAAATACTTAAAAAACCATGCAGTTTTATTCAATATTTCTTCAGAGGTTCTGAAGAGCAGTTTGCCAGGGCAGTTAAACTACATCAGCAGTGAAACTACGTGTAAGTTTAAATCAGTTTAAACCAACACCCATATGCACCAGGAAGGGACAACTCTCCACCACTAATTCTCCATAGACCAACTCACTACTCAGCCAACTCACCACTGGGACAACTCTCTGCTGGACATCTCGCTGCCAGGACAGCCCTCCATGGATTGGCAGATGAGGAGCAGCACAGCCCTGTGTCATCTGCCAACCCACGAAGAGTTCTCCTGGCATAAAGGTGTCCTAGACCCCTTATAAATTGCTCTATGTATAGTACTAGAATCATAAATGTATATTATGCCCCCACCCAAGGTGTCTTCTGTATCACTTATGGAAAAGAAACAATCAAGAATAACAAAAGAAGGACAGAACATATTTTACAACCTCTTAACAGTACAATTAGAGTATATTGCCCTTCAAAAATACCCTGTAGGGGCATGGAAAAAACCAAACTATTTCATAAATCTAGATGGTTGAACAGTGCACTTGGGTTCAGATTAAGTTTTAAAAAACCCAACCAACCAACCAAAAAAAACCCCAAACAAACAAACAAAAAGCAACAAAAAAGCAACAAAAAACCCCAAAACAAACAAAAAGCACACACACAAAAAAACCACCCCAAAATAAAACACAAAAACCCAAAAGCCAAAGGATGAAAAATCAAGATGGAAGTTTATGAAGAGATATTTTAGTGATCCATCAATAATATTTCTTAGTCAAGTATACTTGACTCAAAATATTCAAATCACTCTTCTCATAACATTTGACAAACAGCCCTCACAGGCTGATAAATGACGATGGAGTAATAAAAACAGGAGAGCGATTACTCTATAATAATTTGGTGAATACCGAGTATAATAATTTAGGAGAAAGAAATGCAAAAATGCAGATACTTATTCAAAGTAAGCAGTAATCAACAGAGAATCCTTAACAGAAACTGAAACCCAATTGAAATATAGAAGTTTTATTACTTTACTACATGGAACAGAAAAGGCTTCAGGTGGGTTTTTTCTGTTTGTTTAGTCTTTTTTTAGAGTTATCACTTTTTCGCAAATGGAGGATAGTTAAGCATTAAAATATTAATGTACAAAGTACAAAGACACACTGAAGTAAGAGTGGAGTAGAAAACAGACACCTCTCTTTCCCACTACACAGCCCTGAGATAAAAGGACATTAACTGCTACTAAAGTGGCCACGGATGTAACACAAAGAAAAATTAAAGCCCTAGCAAACAGTTCCAGTCCCAGAAGTTCAGCTCTACACCAACGGTACCTTATTCTGTGAAACATTCCTCTGAAATGAAGACTTATGCTTCCCGTATAACTGGGTCAGAAGAAGAATAAAAATTAGTAGTGAACAGTTACCTTGAGGTTCACTTTCTCCAGGTTCTGTTTTAAATTGTTTTGGTGGTTTAGGAGCTGTAACATACTTTACTGGAGAACTTTCTGGACTTGATTCCAAATGTAATCGAAAGTTCTGAACACAACAGAAAACATTAAATAAAAAAACAGGACTATTTAACACCTCTAGCCTATTAACAAAACCACTCAGTTGACTAAGTATTAACATCTTCAATACAGCACCAGTTTTCCGATTCCTACCTTATTTTAAACAAACAAAATGCAACCTGTTAGCTACTTCATAATTAAGTTTGTGGTATTAATTTAGAAAAAAATATTTTTCATTTTATAGATAAGCTTGTAAAATAATTTCTATAGAACACTTCTGTTCTTAAAAACTTAAATTGTAATAGAAGCTCATTCAGACAGAGAACACTTCCCCCCCATTACTTTTAATATACCTTTCAGAACAGAACAGCTATGCAAACTAAGTTGTTAAAAAGTATTCATATGAATCTGTACACCCTGCAGCCCCAGCAGGAAATGTTATTGATCAACATTTAGTTAACTATAGAACTTAGGAGAGTGAAACAGATTCATTTTCCTGTCTACAGTAACACACCAGTAAAGGATCTTTAATACAGTTAAAAACTGTTGCGTTACTTTAAAATGAAGTAATTGTTAAAATGAACTTTCTGAGCATGGTAGTCTCAGAAGACAGAACAGATTAAGAACACCCTCCCCACCATACACTGTAATTAAAATTACTTACCTCATCTGGTCTTGGCTCACATAAATGTTTTGTCAAATTACGCAACAAACCATTTTCTGCACCTCTCTTTGTAGGCTGTTTTGTTTCTAATGTCACTTCTTTAGGTCCAGATCTTTCAGATGAAAGATCTGATTTCTCCTGCACACAACCAGCACTTTCATTCTCGGAGAGTCTTGTTATTGATGGCTTGCCCTGTGTCTTCAAAAGCTCCGCTTTGGCAGGTGTTTGACTCGCTTCTGAAACTTCAGGGTAATCTTTTAACAACAAAAGCCTGGGAGTATTTGCACAATTTAAGTTACTTTGCTTCGTGTTACTAGCTTTCAGTAACTTAATTTTGGTCCATTTAGAGTTCTTGTTTGATGAGCTATTTCTGCCATTCAGAGTGCATTTGACAGGCATTCCTTTTTTGCTAGGGAAAAAACGTTTGCATTGACTACTTTGACCAGGCTCTTTCTGAGTAAGCAATTCACTTTGCTGAAACTGTGTGCTGGCATGCTTTGCTTCTGTTTTGCTATACTCAGCATTAGGGGAATCTTTTTTCACCTCTACTGTATCTGACTCAATCTCACCTGCAATTTCTTCACAAAGTTCAAGGATGCTTACCCTTTTGGATTTCGCATCATTCTCTGGCTGATCAGACACATTTGTTTCACTTACAGTTGGCTGTGAAATCTTTTTAGGTTTTGTACTGTTTTTTACGTTCGGGTGCATTTGTTGCTTTTCCTTAGTTACTGTCTTAGAATTTGGCTTAGGAGAATCTGTTTCCACTTGCTTTGTGTTGCTAGGAATAGGAGTGCCCATTTGGTCTTTCTTAACTTCCTCAAGACTGTCATCAGGACATAATGATGACCCTTGAAGGTTGTGTTGAAAGCTGTTGGAATTATAATTTTCATTGTTTGCTTCACATTTTTTCTCTTTCAGAGAGCTGGTCACTTCCACGTGTACTTCTTTACTCTCATTTGTATTGCTTGGCTTTATTTTTGTGTTTTTCTGTTCCGTTTTCTCTCTAGCAGATTTAAGGCCTTCTGCTGCAACACTTGGAGCACGTTTTTTTGTCTGACTACTTTGTTTAACTTCCAAGGGTTTTTCTTCTTTAACTTCTCTGTTGCGCAGCGATCTTGCTGGTACATGTACACCTGTTAACTGCTGCAGTCTCTGTGATCTCCTCATCACTGGCTCATTTGGCGCAATTATGCATTTTGACTTAGGAATTTCTTGCACAGGTTTTTTCTGGCAAACCTCCTTATTTTTTGCAGATTTAGGCTGCTGCTGGACCTTTTTGTCAGGTGTTGTTTTATTATTCAAATTGAATCCTGATGATCTTGTAGCCATGCGCATTCCTAGTTCAGATTCGTTGGTGCTGTTGCTGGAAAGATTCAAGTAATTACTTTTTCAGCATCCAGAAAGTAGAATCTGTCATAAGATTATTCTCATTCCGACTAACCCCTACTTCTTCCTTTTTTCCCTTTTTATTTTTAAACACTAGGTCTTACACCTTCAATATTTTTAGAAGAATTTTCTCTAGAATAGTTCTAAGACTTTACTTCCACCCAGTTACTATTAAATCCAGTATTTAATGTTTTTTATGCATGACAAGCCTGAACTATGAACTCCAGATGAATACTTTTTAACATCTCTAACAGTTTTAATTGTTGACACTTGGGGCTTTCAAATGAAGTATTAGCTTATGTAGTATTAGATGTATTTTTGCTTCAGAAACTTTTTCAGAAGTCTTTCTGGATTTCAAAACACTAACACAGGTCCAGAAAAAGATAATGTAGCAGATACACTCGATCATTTAAGGCTGATACTCCCAATACTACTATTTTTTTTGCTGTATCTTTAACTCAACTTCATTCTGCTTAGATTGTTTCTGCGCTTATCTATTCTAGAAAGATAACCCAGAACTTACTTTTTTTTCACTGACCTGTTTGATTTGACAGAGGTTTTGAGTACAGTTTTCTCCTGCACTGCACAGTGAATAGCCTTTGATTTATTTGAAACATGTTTTGTATCTGACACCTCTTTTTCCTTCTTCGTTGATGATTGTTTGCTGTTCTTGTCCAGCTTTGGACGTTTAGCAGAGGGCTCTACTAACATAGACTTTCTTTTCTGAGCTGCCATTTCTGTAAAACAGAATAATTGAGTCAGCTTTTAGAGTCTTTGGCAACTGTTGTTACAGCTTCTGTTAATACAAACAAAGATTGGCCCATCTTAACAAAATAAAGAAATAATATTCTCTTTTCATTGTAAAGACAGATCATACTGTGATCAGAAAGCAAAATATCAAAGCAATCTCAATTACATTTTATTTTACTTACAGGTTTTTACAAGAGGCAATCGATGTTTAGGCCAAAGTAACTTATCAAGGTGTGCCAAGAGCATTCCTTATGTATATGCTTACAAACAGGACGTTTCATGCCACCTGTGAAAAACACAAAACGTTCATGCAGTAAGCACTTTATTAACTTCCTTCTCAGATACTGAATTTGCCATTCCCTCTTCCATCCCTTCAAACAATGATTAGCTGTAAAGTTTCTTTGATAATCAATTTTTTTAAAAGCCTACATATAGCCATCAACTTTTGGCATTTTGCTGCCTTAAGCATTACCCTTTACTTTCTGAAAGGTGGCAGACACAGTACAATTTGAAAGGAAGCTTCTCAGCCTTTTAAATTTTTCCAGAAAATTGTATGCTGATGTCTTTCATAGCCTGCAAAAAAAAAAGTGGGCTTGCTGTCAATTCTGTGCCCCACAGCCACAGTGAATAAATACATTACAATAATACATAAACCCATGAGCCATCAGTGTGCCCAGGTGGCCAAGAAAGCCAATAGCCTCCTGGCCTGCATCAAGCATAGCGTGGCCAATTAAATTTATTTTTAAAAGAAAATGTACAGATATAAAGTTCCAATGTAGAGAGTAACTATACACATAAATAGCACTTTAGCATCTTCACTCATTCAGGCACTATTACGAAAACAAAACACAAAGCACTCATCAGCAAAGCATCAGGCTATCTCAATAAGAAAGTAGCTAAACTCTTCTACTGTTTTTCAGGCAATTACAGTACACATATCACCATTTGGCAGTACAGAAATTTCTGGAGAAACTTTTGTTACTAGCTCAATTGCATATTTAATTAAATGGCTTTGCCTTAAGAATGGAGTAAAATCATTTTTGATCATTCCATATTTGAAGTCTGCAGTTTTCACAGCACTAGATGATTTGCAAGTTCAATATTTTTACTGCATTCATACTCTGTTCCACCAAGATTAGTTTATGACAATGAGATGCAGGATAATGGGGGGTGGAGGGGTGGGTAGAAATCATTAGAGGTTAAGAAAAATGCCTTGGGTTTTTTTTATAGAAAAAAAACCTTTTTAAATAAAGATGATAAAACAATGCATTCTATGTTCACTGAAAATCTCTGACTATCAATAGAAAACATCAGTTCAAAGCAAATATGCTTTTTTATTTTTAAACTGAGGCATTTGAACACGAGCCAGCAATGTGCTCAGGTGGCCAAGAAGGACAACAGCATCCTGGCCTGTACCAGGAATAGCATGGCAAGCAGGAATAGGGAAGTGATCGTGCCCCTGCATTTGGCAATGATGGGATCACATCTCAAGTACTGTGTGCAGTTCCGGACCCCCCACTACAAGAAGCACACTGAGGTGCTGGAGCGTGTCCAGAGGAGAGCAACCAAACTCGTGAAGGGTCTAGAGAACAAGTCATTCCAGGAGCAGCTAAGGGAACTGGGGTTGTTTAGTCTGGAGAAAAGGAGGCTGAGGGGAGACCTCATTGCCCTCTATAACTACCTGAAAGGAGGCTATAGGGAGGTGGGTGTTGGCCTCTTCTCCCAGGTAAATAATGATAGGACCAGAGGAAATTATCTGAAGTTGCAGCAGGGGAGATTTACATTGATTATTGGGACTTCTATATTGAAAGACTGGTCGGGCACTGGAAAGGCCTGCCCAGGGAGGTGACTGGGTCACCACCTTTGTCAAGAAACATGTAGATGTAGTACTTCAGGGCATGCTCTAGTGGCCAAGGTTGTGGGGTTTTTTGGTGATGTGTAGTGTTTGCTTGGGCATTTTTTGGCTGCTTTGTCTTTTTGTTTGTTTTGGGGTTTTTTGGCTATTCTTTTTTTATGCTGGTGGTTGGACTCTGTGATCTCAGAGGTCCGTTCCAAACATGACAATTTTGTTATCAGATTCTGTTAAGTTTGTGGCTGCTACTAAAGAACTTTGTAGTCATCAGTAACTGTCTATAACTGTTACTTCTCATATAACTTAAGCTACAAATCAGACACAGGAAGCCTAGAAAGTAGCATTATTTGAGACATTTGCCTTGGGCAGTTAAAGATGAAGTCTTTATGAGAACTGAAATTATGTTAATGATGCAGAAGTAAATCTGCAAAAGAATCTGAAAACTAGGAGAAATCCTCAGTAAAAGGTCTTCACAGATTTGCTTGATTATACCTCTCATATCTATTTGTAGCTTCTGAAACTTTTAAGTTCTCTTATTCAAAGACACTGTGTTTGTATTATGGCATAAGTAATAATTGTTCAGCTAAGCTTCACTAATATCTTTTTTAAATGAAGTTTAATGGAAGACACAGTGCTCAGAACTTCCATATTGCCTTTTAGGTCAAGAATTATCTATTATTACATTTTGCCATTGACTGACTGACAAAGAAAGATCTCTGTAAAAAAAATTGTTACTTTTCAAAACTTAACTAACCTGATGTTAAACCTGACAGATTTTAAGGTCAAACAGGAACTTACCAGTTGTATAACATAGGCTGGATAGTTTCATCACACTTACAGTTACCCTTCCAGCATTGACAAATGTGTGTCTTTCTTCATTAATTTGAAAGATACTTACAATAAGCTTCTGGTTAATAATTATGCATTATCCAAAAGGAAAAAGTAAAAAGCTGTACTTTTAATTTTCTTTCAGACTTTAAATTGTCCTTAACCCTATTTTCATGTATCCAGCCTTTTCTCAAGACACTTCTAACCACATAAGACTGATTATGCTCAAATTCCAGATACGAGTGCTGGCTTCTCACTTTCTCTTTTAAGGTGCATGACCAGCAACTCATATTGAGATAGAATTAAAAAAACATATCCAGGGAAGAAATCCTTAAGAGTACTTTTTGTAGTGCTATTTCCATGTCTCTCCCTAAGGAGCAGGTTACCACTAGCCAGACTGTTCATCAGAACCAGAGTACAGCCACTCACACTGGAAAGAACAGCTTTAATTGCTGAGTAAATCTTTGGTCTTATAATCTCTTACTTTAGAGGACATCGTTGACTCTCAGAATTTGAGAACACCATGACACATACTGCATACGCCTAGACCTTCTTAAGTTTTTTTCCAGACATATAGAGACATCACTGTCACTTCTCAAGCCATATGATATGGCATACTCAAGACTTTCAAGTACAAATCAGAAAATATAATTTTTCCCTTACCAATTCTGCTTCTCAGAATACTGACAAATACACTCTCCCCCCAGAACGAGGACTAGCTCTTTAACTAGCTCTCCCACTAATACTTTGCACAACAGATCAAGGACTTTTCCAGACGTTCAAGAACTGGCAGTTTCTGCCCTAGAGAAGTCCCCTCTAGTAAAAACCAGACCATGGAACGAAGGGAAAACACGGAAGTACAAGAACAAACTAAACAACAGTCAAAGCTTTTGGTGCAAGAAGCAGAGGAACAACAGGAACACGCAACTCCCACACCCTCAAGTCCTGAAAGGGGGGAAAAGCCATTTTTCTCTGCTGACAGTGGGGGGCTCAGCGGCTTGACAGGGCGCTGGAGCCTTCCCTGCTGACAGCCACGACAGGATCCCGCAGCCTTCCCGAGAGCTCGAGACCCCACGGAGGAACTGCGACCCCACGACGGAACTCAAGAGAGAAAGGAGGAAAAGGGAAGGCCTCGTCCAAGAGTGGCCCAGTGTCATCCGCCCCAGCTCCCCGCCGTGACAGCCCTTCTGCAGC